AAATCTTGTTTGGGGTAATGGCTGGAAGACAGTATGAGAAAAGCTTCTGGGGTAGAAATAATGTTCAAATCTTGATATTGGCGTTTATAAATAAAGGTATATTTGCTTTTTAAAAATTCATGGAACTACAGGGGCACTTGGGTGGCTCAGTCAGTTAAGCATCAGTCTTCCACTCAGGTCATGATTTCACAGTTCATGAGTTTGATACCCACATTGGACTCTTTGCTGTCAGCACAGAGCCTGCTTCAGATCCTCTGTCCCCCTCTCTCTCTGCCCCTGCCCTACTCACACACACTCTCTCTTTCTTAAAAATAAATAAACCTTAAAAAATTTATATTAAAAAAAATTCATGGAGCTACAGACTTAAGATTTGTGTCTTTGGGTCTAAAAAAATGCTAAGCAAAAAAGTTTAAAAAATAAAAAACTGCACCACAGAGTAAATATTTTACAACAAATGTGACAGAAAAGGGACCAATCCTCAAAATATGCAAAGATTTTAAGGCTGTTTCAAACATAGTGAACTTGAAATAGTGGAATATCCATGTGAAAAGATTCAACAAGAATGGGAGATGTCAAATCCAAGCTTTGGGAGTCATCAGAATACAAGTCCAAATATTTTTTAACAAATGTGAAGTGATAGTAACTAACAAAAAACTTATTTTTTTTTGCACTTTCAAGTCAAACCAAGTATATCTGTGGCCAGTTTGATTTTGTAGGTCACTAATTTGGAACCTCTAATGATCACCAGGAATAACATCTGTTCACACGGTTTGTTACCCCATATGGATATTTATCCTGACAAAAATAAAGCAGGGCACCAGTAGTGGGGTCCTAAGTATCTGCTGCAATGGCAGCCTGAATACATGCTTTTTACCTTGACTCCTTCTTGAAATTCCTTAACATGGAAAGATTTTTTTTTTTTAAAAAAAGCATAAGCCCACACAGATTAAACGAAAAGGAGAAGAGAGAACAATAAAATTTTAGAACGCTTGAAAGCTGATGGACATGTGGTAAAAAAAACTCAGCATATCTGAGAAAACTAAATTCTACGTCAATAGTTGGGAAGCCAAGAATAGTCTCTAGGATTTCCAAAAATGTCAAGAATTGATAGGAATTCCACTACTCATGGAAGAAGGAGTGAAAGGAGGGCTGAAGTAAGGAATATTGGTTGAAAATCTGTTTAAGAAGCAAACCCTACTTAGTCATCTGGGCAACTGTCTTTCCCCATTTTGGCAAAATACTAAAGAGACTAAAACGGATAATCTCTGAATAGGGGGAGACCACCCAAAGTTGAGGGCAAGAGTACTGATCTGAAAACAAGAGGATTAACAGGGCTTATATATACCAAATGCCCTCTTCACCATCTCAGATCCCAGAATGCTGGCAGTCAGATCTTTACCCTCCAGACAAGAGACAGGAAAAGTCTCCTCAAGGGAATCTGAGCAGCCCCAGAAAAAAGAACTCCAGATATTAACATCAAAGGCTCACCAACTAAACAGCCCAGCTAGATAATCTCACTGTGAAATTCACAATCAACAAGTCCCACCCACATACCCAGAGCTTCCAATCAGCTATGTCCACTGCACTTAAATATGAGCAGTCAACCAAGGAATTACCTGCTCTGAGAAACACCTCTAAAACAAAGTCAGAGATTAAAAACAAACACATAAACAAAATCAGGGTGGGGGGTACTTTGTGGAAACAGACTATATGCAAGATATAAAAATAAAAGATCTAAAATCTCAGAGGTAAGACAAAATACTGTTAGCAATGAATCAAGAACAGGTTTGAAAAGAAAAGGAAAGAAAAGAGAAAAAAAAGAAAAAAGGAAAGGAAAGGAAAGGAAAAGAAAAAAAAGGACAGAAAGGGAAGGAGGGAGGGAGGGAGAAAGGGAGGAAGAAAGGAAGAAAAGGAAAAGTAAAAAACTTGAAAAAGTACAAAGAAATATTTGGAGATCAAAAAAACAGTTCTTAGAAATTAGGAATCAGAGAGCAGAAATGAAATAAGATCAGCATTATTTTTAGGAGATAAAATGAAGAAACATCCCAGAATCAAAGAGTCAAAAAAATAAAATTTTCTTGGTCTTCAAGAAAATAAGAGGACCAATCTAGAAGACTACATGTCACTATCTGTTGTAGAATCAAGAAAACAGAAAGACAGGGGTGCCTGGGTGGTTCAGTAGGTTAAGGGTTCAACCAGCTCAGGTCATGAATTCATGGTTTGTGGGTTTGAGCCCTGCATTTGGTTCTGTGCTGACAGCTCAGAGCCTGGAGCCTGTTTCAGATTCTGTGTCTCCGTCTCTCTCTGCCCTTCCCCCACAAGTACTCTGTCTCTCTCAAAAATAAATAAACATTTAAAAAAAAGGAACTAGGGTACGTTGGAAAATAGCTATTCTAGGTCTAGAAAAAGAAAATGGAGCCTTGAACATGTTGTGTGATAAATAAGAAAGTACTCAAGAGACAAATGAGGACACAGAAATTGGACTGAGGGGTTCCTCTAGCCAAATGTGGGACAATTTGAGCATTAAAAAAAAAATGAAAAGATTATAACACATTCATTTTCTTTTTTAAGGTTTATTTATGTCTGAGAGAGAGCAAGCAAGCATGAGTAGGAGAGGGGTAGACAGAGAGGGGGACAGAGGATCCAAAGTGGGCTGTGCGTTGACAGCAGTGTGCACAATGCAGGACTCAAACTCCCAAACCCTGAGATCACGACCTAAGCCAAAGTCAGACACTCAACCAACTAAACGAACCAAGTGTCCCAACACATTTATTTTTTAATTTTTTAATGTTTTATTTATTTCTGAGTGAGTGAGAGAGAGAGACAGACAGACAGACAGACAGACAGTGTGAGCAGAGGAGGGTCAGAGAGAGGGGGAGATACAGAACCTGAAGGAGGCTCCAGGCTCGGAGCTAGCTGTCAGCACAGAGCCTGATGCAGGGGTCGAACCCACAAACAGCGAGATCATGACCTGAGCTGAAGTCAGAAGCTTAACCGACTGAGCCACCCAGGCGCCCCTCAACACATTTATTTTTTTAGAAAATCCTTGCGTCCATAATGATAATCAGAAAAAGAAGGGAAAAAAGTAAAGGGAAATAAAAAAGAAGGGTTAAAAAGAAAAAGAAAAGTTCTTTATATTAAGAAAGATACCTAATAAATGTCAAAGGAATGATAAAATTATAAACATCACCATTTTGGAATGAGAGAATTATGAAAAGTCACCATTTTATAATCCCAATATAATAACCGATTAAAGCAAGAATCCTAAAACCAATGGGTGAAAGATTGTTAAGGAAATAGAACTCAAAATATTACCCCACAGATACTTAGTAAATGCAAAGAGAAAGAGATCTTTCAAGTGATCTGGTAGTCATCCTCTTACCCAAATGATCAAATTTAGCATAACCTAGAGACAATCTAACAGTATACACTTCTGACTTCATAGAGTGAGCAGTACACAATATCATTTATGTCATACTCATGCCAAATATACTTCACCTGAATCTAATCATGAGAAAATAAACAAATCCAAAATGTCCTAGTCTACAAGACAACTGACCTGGAACCTTTCATGAAAAACAAAGAAAAGCAGGAAGACTGTTTCAGATTAGAGGAACAAAAAAGTAATAAGCCAACCAATGTTTCAGGAACGAAAAGAAGATATAAGACATCCGGGGGGGAAATGGGGAAATCTTGAATATAAATATTAGATTATGGGGGCACCTGGGTAGCTCAGTTGGTTAAATACCCCACTTTGGCTCAGGTCATGACCTCACAGTCCATGAGTTCAAGGCCCACATCAAGCCCTGTGCTGACAGCTTAGAGCCTGGAGCCTACTTCAGGTTCTGTGTCTCCCTCTCCCTCTCTGCCCCTCTCCTGCTCGTGTTCTGTCTCTCTCTCTCTCAAAAATAAACAAACATTTAAAAAAAATTTAAATATTAGATTACATTATTGAAAAAATATACAATGCCCCAAATTGGAAGACAGTTGAAGAAACAATAAAAGGTAGTTATTTAAAGACATAAATGTAAATATCAATATAATTCCTTTAAAGAGGTAAGAGGCTCTACCCCTAGAAGGAGGAATGATGAATGGAAGTAGGGAAAATGATACCTGTTTTTCTGCAACAGACACACAGAACTATTATCTGGATTTTTAAAATATGAGGATGTACAACTTTGATAGAAAAAGAGAATATATTAACTATATACAGTTATATGTATATATATTATATATATAAAATAAAAGACTTTCAGGATAGTTTATGGTTCATGTATTAAGAAGGAAAAAATTAATTCTCCTAATTAGTATCAATTGGTAAAGGCCAATAAAACTTAATGTTTAGCACTATAAAGCAAGACATACACAGATCTTTGAGTTTAGATTTGTATATAATATACTGTGATAGTTAAGCAGTTATTAATAAACTAAGAGGAAATCACTATTTCCCTATTTGAAATGTGGAATATTCTTATTCTGATTTTTCTGTTACTTTAAAATCGTTCATCTTTAAAACATTTCAAACATTATTACAGTTAATGATTCTATGGCAATCAATAAAGTACTTCAAATTATTTTTCATTTGTCATGCATTCATTTGTGTTATAATACAGAACATGACCTACACTAGCCTAGATTGTCAAAATATAACTACCCACATTGCTTCCATTGTGGTCTCACAATTTACACTTAGCCTTTGATCATATGCAATGTTAACACAGAAGCTAATCAATAGTTTTCACTACTGTTCAGTTGTCTATTTGTTCTTCATCAATATTATCATTCTTTGAGTTCACTTATAAAGAACCAGGATCCACAAACAAATGGCTATAAATGGCTAAGAATTGTTTTATTAGATGATCCTGACAGGCAAATTGCGTGAAAAAGAATAAAGGTCGAAAGCAAAACTTCCCATGACTCACTATAATTTATATTGTTTATCCATGCTTTAATAGAAAAATAAAAGATTCCTATTAAAACCAGGAAAGAAACCAACTCACCGTTTTGCACTCATCTGTTCTTTTAGCTTACTGTACATTTCCAGCACTGCATTAAAAAATAACTTATTTTAGCTTTCAAAATAAAAAAAATTGAGATGAAAAAATTAAAGGGAAGAGTATATTATAATTCATTAATTTTCTCTATAATTTAATTCAGGCTTATATTTTCAAATAAAATTTTATACTTCAAGTAAATAAAAAACATTTTAATGTCTACATATATTGAATATTATTTATACCCATTATCTGGAATTTGGAATACTTCAATATGCTGACACTTATAATTGAGATATTAACCAACTAATAATTATCATTATTCAGAAACTTATATATCTTCCGTGTGGTAGAACTGGAAATTTGGACTTCAGTTACTCAAGAAACAAAGCTGATTGAAAATGATTAATTTTGATTAAATATATCAAATAATACTCATATACCAAAAATACCAAACACAACTGTGTTACATAGCTCATTAAACAAAATTTTATACCAAACTGACATATTTAAAAACCCTCAAAAGTGTATAGCAGAGACTAAATTATCATAATCATAAGTAAATATAACAAAGCAACTTTGTTTTATTATTTTTATTATAGACTCAGAAATGCAATTATTCAATAAAAATTGTTACAAGCTTCAGCAAGAAGCATTCAGCATTGCCACCAATAAGGTTTTAATGCCACTATGCAGATTACCATTTATCCTTAGTAGAAGTTCAAAGTATAAAGTGAGCAAATTATTGACTCCTCAAGCCAGCTCACATTTTCACAGACCACAAAGACAGAACACTTTTTTCCCAGATCTTCTATTTTGGTTACTTCCCAGGGGTCTTCAAGTTCATAGAATCTTTCACTTGTCTGAAATCCATTAACACCGCAATGGTGGCAACAGTGAACCACCTTAACCCTGTGGACCCTATGTATATCTCTATGACAGCCCGTATACCGTAATGAAATTATTTCTCACATTTTCTAACCAAAGCATTACCGTGAACACATAACCTGGGAAAAAGCCTAACACTGCTGCTATAAGTATAAACCTTGAAATCTCCTGTTTTATCTCAACAATTCATGCAATTTTCTTATTATACTTATTATACTATTTCCATATAAAAATAATGCTCTCCTTGGGGCGCCCGGGTGGCTTAGTCGGTTAGGCGTCTGACTTTCGCTCAGGTCATGATCTCGCGGTTCGTGGGTTCAAGCCCCGCGTCGGGCTCTGTGCTGACTGCCAGCTCAGAGCCTGGAGCCTGTTTCAGAGTCTGTCACTCCCTCTCTCTCTGACCCTCCCCTGCTCACGCTCTCTCTCTCTCTCCTAGAAATAAATAAAACATTAAAAAAAAAAATAATGCTCTCCTCAAAAATAAGCAAGAAAACTAATATATCAGGAAAGTATATTGTTTACCCTATGACTTCTTCTATCCTGTCATACTCCTAGTCCAAGGAGAAGTTAGGCAATTGTACAATAATTAATAGCTTACTTGTCTTTATTCACATTAGGCTGTAGGATCCTTCAGAGCTGGGAATGTATCTTTTTCAAAATTATACTTTCAATATCTACCATAATGGCTGACACAAAAAAGTATTTACAACTGGATAATTCTATAGAAGGCTAATAATGGAGGAAAGGAGGCAGTTCTCAATGTGGCTATCAGGAACATGATGTTTACATAAACTCAGATCGCCTGTACAGCTTTGAAGGCAAAGACAGTATCAGTAACAAAAGTCTAACCTCTGCTTCCCTTTATTTTTCTATTCTAAATAGCCCCCTCAGGGAATAAGCTAAATTCAGCTCTTCCTCATTCTAATCAGTACCCAATTTTTTAGACTTATTCTCATTCACGGACAAAGCAATCAAACTTAGAGACTATCTTCATGGCTACTTCAGTGTAGCTGATGGTGGCAAAGAGGTATTATTAAACATTACTACAAGGAAGTAGGTTCTCAACCCTCATGAAACCGAACATAATAAGCAGACATTTTATTTACTCAAACTTAATGTGCCAGCATCCAGAGATTAAACTGAGTAGAATTTTAGTGACTCTTAAAAAAAAAAAAAAGTTATTCTAACAAAGTCAGAAAACAATGTGTTTTAGCTAATAAAATCTGACAGTTTTGGGGTGCCTGGGTGGCTCAGTTGGTTAAGCATCCAACTTCAGCTCAGGTCATGATCTTGCACTTCTTGAGTACAAGCCCCACAATGGGCTTTGTGCTGACAGTTCAAAGCCTGGAGCCTGTTTCAGATTCTATGTCTCCCTCTCTCTCTGCCCCTCCCCCATTCACACTTTGTGTGTGTGTGTGTCTCTTTCCGGGTCCCTCTCTCTCAAAAATAAACATTAAAAAAATATTTAATAAAATAAAATCTGAGAGTTTTAAGATATAATTTGTATTTGAAGGTAATTTGGTATTATATAAATATTATACAAAGCATCTCATTCTATTCCCCAGGGTATAAAGGTTCAGGTTCCTTCCTAAAAAATTAAGTTTAAAAGATGGGACTCTAAGATGGATTCAGCTTACTATATGGGAAAAAAAAAAAAAAAAGAGGACATACACATGCTTCCTTTTGTTTGAACAGAATACATCAGGGGAAAGAAAATACTGGTTAGTTTCTTCAGAATTTATTTGATGTCAGTAATATCTGAGCTGTAACAGACAGATCAAAAACTCAGAAATCTAAAAAGTCAGTCTTTCCAAAATATAGGAGTAAAGGCAAGCCCAAAGAAGGGAGAGGACCTAGCACTTTTGGATGTTTTCTTATTTTGTCAGCGAAATGAGATCATGAGCAAAGCAAAACCAACCTGCTTAAACAACAAACAGAAAAACGTGGACAACTAGTTATAAAAAATTAGGCAAATTAGGAAAAGGCAAGGAAATATAACGAAAAGACACTCTCCTCCATGGGAAAGTATTCTGAGGAAAAACAAAAGAGCGGCGGGAGGGGGTTGAGGGACAAAGGACAAACTAGGCGGGAGGAAATAGGAAAGGTACAGGTTTTTCTAGGAACCTGATGTGACAGATCATCAAACAGGGGCTTTATAAGATAAGAAGACCATGAAAATTCAAGGGCTAAAATGGACAAGGAAGATAACCATGAGCTTTTGGAGGCAATCACCAAATAATCTGTAATTCCCATAATGAATAATGACCATACACTATCATTAGATTATAATTTTACCAAACCAAGCATTAGACTGTAGACAAGTTTAACTCACCTGGAAGACATAACTGCAATTTTTCTACTACTGTTGTAATATTCCTCTGCTGAATTCTACATCGAATAATATCTTCTGTTTGGACTATGACCTTAGAAAAGAAGAAATAGTTCATATTTTTAAGCAAACAGTTAAACTGTAACCACAAACTGAGTGTGCAAAAAATGTATCATATTCTCACCTCCTTTCCAGCATCTTGAAATTTTCTGTTGGTATCAGTAACTTGCACCTTAAAAATAATTTCACCTTAGTTAGACAAATATGCATAAAACTGCTCTGATATAACTGCTCACCCTTGTAATCAGATCATGCTTCATGAGAAACTTAGAACAAAGAAATGCAAATTCAAATTAACTCTACAGCTTGAACTTGAACTTTTGATTGAAAAGGGCTTTTGTTAACTTCAATTACTTATGACAGTTCTTTTTAACAGATTCTGTGGCAAACTTCTCAAATTTAATCTAGATTTTTGAACTTTACTTGCTTCTCTAAGTCTGTCAAACAATTCAAATCACTGACCCAATTGACCACTGGTCCCTTTTTGATAACTTCAATGAGGTCTATGTGCCATTCATTGTCTGTAGGAAATGGTGATTGCATTTTATGGTAATTAAACATTCATACTTTGCTGAATGCAAACACTGGGTGGTTGATTAACATCAAACACGGAAATCTCAATCCACAGCAACATTTTAATGCTGCAGGTGCAGACAAAGCTCAACCTCAAATTTTCCCACATATTAAGTGACTCATTAGGTCATCATCATAAGGAAGCACATTCTAGTTTATTAAAAATCTCATTAATTTCTGAACAAAGATGCTCAGTGACCTCATTGATGCTGTATTTGGTCTCTTGTTATCTGAATATCCTTTATATAATAGTTTTTAATCATAACCTTTGGTGAACCAGCGTCATTTTATCTACTAAATTCTCCAAATGTAAAGAAACATAAACAGGCCAATTCTTAAAACTAAATATTTTGTATTCTGACTAAACAAATCCAGGTCTCATTTAATAAATAACATTTCTGCTCTGTGGCAGAAAATGCAGACCAACTTTCTTTAAGAAAATTATGCTTTGCTATTAAACTAAGTTTCAATATTATTAAATAATTTTGAGAACATAATCACATCGTAAGTTTTTAAAGGTTTTTAGAGGATAGCTTTTATAATTATTGTACTAATTGTCATTTTAAAAATTCTAAAACTGCAAATGAGGCCTTTCATTGTACGAATTCTTTTAGTTCATTTCCCTGCATGGAAAGAAATCCTGTTAGGTCAATGCATTACTTGCCTTACAAAAAAGAGATTACTCCTGTCATTAGCATGACAACTATGTTAATAGAGCATAAAGAGCATTCTCAAATATACACACTAACTCACTTCTTAAAAACAGTACATTTAATAATGATTTGTACATATGCACTAAAAATACTTGAGTAATTTAATGAGAGCAAAGGTAAAGAGAATTTTTTTAATGTTTCTTTTTTAAGTTTATTTTAAGAGAGAGCGGGGAGGCGCACAAGCGGGGTAGGAGCACAGAGAAAGGAAAGAGAGAGAATCCCACGCAGGCTCCACCCAGGAGCGTGAAGCCCCATGAAGGACTCAGACCCAGGAACCATGAGATCATGCATGAGCTGAAACCAAGAGTTGGATGCTTAACTGACTGAGCCACCCAGGAGCCACAAAGGTAAAGAGAATTTTAAAACATTTCTTACCTTCAGTTTTTCTGCATCAGTCCTTACTTTAAGGAGTTCTGTAATAGCATCTACAAAACCCTGATGATGAAAATTACACATCTTTTCAATTTCCTTGTCATGATTACGGATACAAGCATCTAACTTTTCCATAAACTTCTTGTGTGCATTTGGTTGGTCATCATACACAGACCTAAATGTATACAAAAAGAATGATAACATTAACTTCCCAGTTCACCAAAATTTATTTTTTTTAGCCTATTCTTTGCAACAGCTAATACTTTGTTGGGTTTTTTTTTTTTTTTGCTTTGTAATCAGTATATTAAGGAGATATTCATACATTTCAAGAATTGCTTAATTCTGGTATTCAGATTTAAGCCTATGAATATGACTTTTAAAAAAAAACATTTTTAAAGTTTTATTCATTTATTATTTTGAGGGGAGGGGCAGGAGGGGGCAGAAGCAGAGATAGGGAAAGACAGAATCACCAGAAGGCTCCACATGCTGTCAACACAGAGCCCAACGTGGAACTTTAACTCGAACTGTGGGATCATGACCTGAGTCGAGATCAAGAGTCAAGACGCTTAACCAACTGAACCACCCAGGCACCCCATGAATATGACTTTTAAACATACAATTAAAGCTATTAATCATAATTTGCTATAGTACCAACATTAAATTACAGTTACTTTGGAGCATAAGTTTAATGTTTAAAGTAAGTCTATAACATACCTTAAAAACACCTTCCTATCTCTTACATGTAAATTATTTCTCCCATGTAAAGGTTTCTTCACTCAAGTTATCCTGCTCCCAAAGTCATTACTCTGAAGCTTATCATGGTCCAAAGGGAAGAAAAAAAAGGATAACCAGAACTGATCAAAATAATAATAATAATAATATAAAGATGGCACAGAAGGGAATGCAATTTTACAAGTGGAAGCCCTAAAGCAGCAGCATATTATGATAAAGCCCTTCTTTAGAAAGGTATCATTTCCATCATGGATGCCACAGGCCAGATTACATAGCATGCCATCTTCAAGTAACAGCTGAGGCAAGAGAATAGATGCAGAAGCATCACCATGAATCCACTTAATATAGCTATAGTTCAGCACTCCTCTACAAATTAAGTTCTTTGATTGTCAGTTAAATACAAGTTTTAACTTGATAGCAATAGCTGATAATCTTTTTTTTTTAATGTTTACTTATTTTTGAGAGAAGAGTGTGAGCGTGAGTGAGGAAGGGTGGGGGAGGGAGGCACAGAGGATCTAAAGTGGGCTCTGTGCTGACAGCAGAGAGCCTGATGTGGGGCTCAAACTCATGAACTGAGAGATCATGGCCTGAGCCAAAGTCAAACACTTAAACAACTGAGCCGTGGGGCGCCTGGGTGGCTTAGTCGGTTAAGCGTCCGACTTTCGCTTAGGTCATGATCTCGCAGTTTGTGGGTTCAAGCCCCGCGTCAGGCTCTGTGCTGACTGCCAGCTCAGAGCCTGGAGCCTGTTTCAGAGTCTGTTGACTCCCTCTCTCTCTGACCCTCCCCTGCTCATGCTGTCTCTCTCTCTCCTAGAAATAAATAAAACATTAAAAAAAAAACTAAGCCGTTCAGAGGCCCTGCAACAGATGATAATCTTAAAATAAAACTGGATTAACAGTACTGCCGTTAGTAAAAATCATTTGTGTGAAATATTACTTAATTTATTTTTGAACATGTTAATATTAAATAATATTATCTACAAACCCTGTAGATATCTGGAAACTGACTAGGTATCTAGAACTAAAGGTCTGAGGCTAAGAACTTGAGTCTTTAACATACCAGTGCTCAAAAAAGAAATCACTGAGCAAATGATTAAGAACATGATGATGATGAACTTCATCGTTAATAATGAACAAACTCCTGATTTCTACAGCATTTACTATGTCAGAACATACTCTAAGTGCTTTGTATATTAATTCCTCACAACAAGCCTATAAAGGTATTGTTATTACCCTTGCTTTATCGATGTATTAGATTATATAACTGCTATAAATTCCACAGCTAGCAAAGGGCAGCTGGGATATAAATCCTGGCACTATGACTCCAGCATTCATATTCTCAAGTACAAGGCCATACTGCAGTCACCATGATTTTCTCTAAGTATGGTGTACATATTCCTACTTATCTCCGCTCATACTGTCTCCACAACCTCCCAGCCAACCACCATGCAGAAAAAATTAACCTTGCGCAAAGAAAGGTTTGGCCCCCGTCCCCAGCTCCTGCGAGGTCTCTGGAATGTCCTGATAGTTGTCTTTGTTTATATGGGGGTCTTGGGCAATGCCAAATAATCTAAGCTAGCAATGTGATTTACAATGTGAGTTATAGTGGATGGGGACCTTGAGGCCACATCATAACAGCTCTGGAGAGTCTGTAGATTAAGGGTAAGCAACTCACACCAGTCAGTCATGTCTATGTGACCAACCCCCAGGAAAAACCCTGAACACCATGGCTTAAGTGAGCTTCCCTGGTTGGCAATATTCCATGACTGTTGCCATACATCATTGCTGAGAGAAATAAGTGCTGTCTATATGACCATTGAGAAAGGACAACTGGAAGTCCTGACCTAGAACTCTCCTAGACCCTAACTTATGTGCCTCTTCCTGATGTTAATTTTAATCTGTTTTCTTTTGCTGTAACAAACAGCAACTGTGAATATAAAAGCTTTCTAAATTCTATGAGTCCTCCTAGTAAATTACTGAACTTCAGAGTAGTCTTGGGGACCTCCCAATCTGTGCCCCCCAATCTGTTGCCCATTGTTTGATATTTTGTTCAATTTCCATTTCCTCCAACAGACCTTCGTCAATCATTTCCATGCCAGGTAATCTCTTCATCTGCAGAATAGGTAAATTTACAGCCCTTTCCACTCATTGTGACATGTAATTCTATGTTATCCTTTTTCTGTAAGCCTTTCAAATATATGTTGTATATTTTATTTCTTCATATCAACCAAAAGCTTCTTGAGGGCAGCCTCCATGTTATAGGTTTTTAATGAGTACTTATTAACAATATTAGAGAAGCAGTATTGGATAACAATTATTAAGAATTTGAGCCTTGGGGCAGCTGGGTGGCTCAGTTGGTTGAGTGTCCAACTTCGACTCAGGTCATGATTTCACGGTTCGTGGGTTTGAGCCCCGTGTCAGGCTCTGTGCTGTCAGCCTGAGCCTGGAGCCTGCTTCAGATTCTGCATCTCCCACTCTCTCTACACCTCCCTCACTCATTCTCTCTCTTTCTCTCTCTCTCTCTCTCAAAAATAAATAAACATTTAAAAAATGAATGTGAGCCTTTAAGAGTTGAGCTAGAATCTTGGACATCTTTTCTTTTCTACCTTTACTACTCTCTCAACCTCATCCAGATTTGGAGATCTTTATTCCCTAAGCACATGGACATCTCACAAATTTATGATTCCAGCCCCAACCACTCCCCTAAACTTCAAACTCATATATTTCTCCACCTGGGTATCACATAAGCACCTCAAATATGTCCAAAATGAATTCCTACCTTCTTCCTCAAAACCTGCTCCTCCCATGGTCTTCCTCCATCTCAGTAAGCCCTACTCTTGTAGTTGCTCTGGCAAAAAAACAAAACAAAACAAAACAAACAAAAAAAACAACTTGAAATCACCCCTGACTATTCTCTCTCACCTTCCCCAGCAAAACAATCCAGCAAATCTCACCTCTAGTGGTATCACCATGGACGGTGCCACCATCGTGTCTTGCCTAGAATTCTGCCAACTGCTTCCTAATCAGTCTCCTTGACTGCACCCTTGCTCCCCTTCAGTCTGTTTACACACAGTAGACAGAATGATGTCATTAAAATATAAATCAGATCCCGTATCTCTTCTGCTCAAAACCCTATTTCTCTTACAAGAGCCCATAAATCCCTATATAATTTTGCCCCATGTTATCTCACTGGCCTCACTTTCTAATACTTACTCTCTACTTTACTTATTCTATGCCAGCAACACTGGCCTCCTTGTAATTCCTGCAACACACCAAGCACATTCCTGTCCTACACTTTACACATGCTATTTCCTTTACCTGGATCACACTTCTCACATGTGAGCTGCCTCTCTTATCACTTTCAGGTTTTCTTATCCCCTTCCTGATAAAGCCCTTTCTCATCTACATTATATCTATGTTATAAACACACACACAAAATTCCCTTCCCTGCTTTATTTTTTCTTCTTTCTTTTCTGAAACAAAGTAGTTTGCTTTAACACTGCATCACTCTTACCACTATAGAATATACTCGGATATAATCTCTTGCATACTTTTATTTATTTTGTCTTTGCCCACTGAAACATAAGTTATATGAGGGAAGAGTTTTTTTTGTCTGTTTTGTTCCCCAATGAATGCTCAGCCCCAAATAAATAATACTTATCACATAGCAGATGCTTAATAAACAATTGATGAATAAGTGGATGGATAAATGGATGGAGACACATGGGATCAGAAAGGACACTTACTAACTGTTCTATCTCCGATAAGCTCCTTCTCTAAATCGCAACTTTCTCAACACTAACTGTTCTATCTCCGATAAGCTCATTCTCTAAATCGCAACTTTCTCAACAATAAAATAGGGATAAAAAATAGTATCTATATCAGAGTGTTTTTAAGGATTAAATTAGTAAACACATGAAAGATTCTTAGCAGTTACTGACATATTATAAGTGCTCAATATACACTGGCTACTAGCATAATATGCACATAAAAAACAACCAAATCCTTATTAAATGAATGAATTGGTTGTTGAATAGGTAGTGGCTGCAAATATCAAATATAGCTACTCCATGCTAAAGGAGTTGACTACTACTAATATTTGACATCTGCATGAGGCCTTTTGCATTTTTTACATCCAATGTTTTTTTTTTAATTTTTTAAATGTTTTATTTATTTCTGAGAGAGAGAGACAGACAGCATGAGCAGGGAAGGGTCAGAGAGAGAGGGAGACACAGAATCTGAAGCAGGCTCCAGGCTCTGAGCTAGCTGCCAGCAGAGAGCCTGATGCGAGGCTCAAACCCATGAACCGTGAGATCATGACCTAAGCCGAAGTCGGACACTTAACCAACTGAGCCTCCTACCCAGGCACCCCTCCAATGTTTCATTTCTTATACCGCACCAGAGAAAATATTGCCTCCTTTTCACAAGTGAGGAAGTAGGCAT